ACAAATGTCCAGCTGATGCCAGACAGAAACAGGTGAAAAGAGGTCCCAGGGGGTGACAACAGACCACACTGTGTAAAGCAAGACTGGTCCTCTAGGTACTCTCACCTTCCCTCTAATGTGCTCCCAATTACGTACAAAATGCAGTCCTTTCACAAGTTTTTAGAAAGTTTTTATTGGTTACAAGGATATAAAATGTATCATTCAAATTCTTCCCTATTTATTAAAGTATATGCAGCAATAGCATAAAAAATCTTTTTTATACATCTGTCAAGCCAATGATATATTTCATGCTAGAAGGGGAAAGTATCAAACAGCAGTCTTGTTTATAATTAATTCCCCTCTCTTTCTTTTTCAAGGCTACATTGGTTAAAATCAAAGAACAACCCCTTTTGTATGTCAAATTGTAAATTTTAATGTTTTCATTAGAATAGTCTTTTATAGCACTCTCCAACAAGAAGCAATAAAATAACTAACAGCGAACTTCATACAGGAACACTCTCCAGATTAACAATGCAAACAAAAATGCAAAATGTAAATCACATATAATACAATTGAAGCGTCCAAAACAATTTAAATAATTTTAAATATTTTATTTTTAAACTGCTACAAATGCTTTATACAACATTTCAACATAAAGTCCCCATAACAGAAATGTAACAAAATGGGAATGATAGTGAAAGGGTTAAAGTGGCACAAACTCACTAAACAAGTATTAAACTACAAATTTTAAGAGGTAGATTACTTTTTAAAGTTGAGAACAAAAAACAGTATGAATAAAATCTAGCCATTTTCCACCAACTCAGTCATTAATTTGGGAGGAGGCATAAAAATGAATGGAGAAATGATATTCATATACTTTGGCAGAGGCCAATTTGTTATTTTAATCTCTATTAGAGACTGCAGTATAAAACCTGGTATGTAAATTCATTTATACTTACATGTAGACACACACATCTCTACAGGCCTGGATGCATCTGTGCATTGATATATTGCTACATAGTCTCTCATAATATAATAGTTATAAATTAGTGCCAGGTAACCATCTGAGAGGATAATGTCCATCAGGATATATAAACATGACACTATAAGAGGCATAAAAAAAGAGTCCATATCCAATCTGGTTTCCTCTCGGTTATGCTGGCAATCTGCTTGTGATTTAAAAAGGGGGCAGGGGGTTGGGGGGTAAGAGATCAGCTAAATGCCTCTCTCTGTCTACGATTCATTTAGAAGAAAGGCATCAAGAGCTGGTGTGTGAGGAGAAGTTTTAAAATGAGTGCATCCGAATCTGTCATCCCTGAAATCTACAATAAACTACTGATAAAATAGAGAACTTGCTTTGCAAGGTTAAGTTCAAATCATTCCCTTCTCTGCTATGTGCCAAAATCAAGGGCCACACTCACATCTGAGTTACAGTCCCATGACGAGGAGCCAGTTCATCTAGCCCATCTTACAGGGCCCTTCTCTTTGGATCTCAGTCACCTGGGATCCCAGCACACACACTGGGCACCACTGAAGGAGCAGATGCCTGACTCTAACCAGGGCAACAAGAAGCCAGCCGGCAATCAACTGTGTTACGATTTTTGAGTCAGCTTCAACTGGTCTTGCAAGCTTGGTAGATTTCGTATCCTTTGCCGTAGTGCTTATCCTAAGTTGAGCATGCAATATCTTTTAGTCAATTAAGGTTTGTTTTGTTTGGGGGGCTTTTCTACAGGAAGTTCCTAGAAAATAAGAAAACTGAAGATAAATGACAACATAACATAACCTTGTATGAATTGACCATGTTAAAGAAAAGGGTGAGGCGACCATAAGACAAATGTTATCAAGACAGCAACACATAAATGACTCTGAAGGTATTCAAGAACTCAGGTGTCCCACTCCAAAGATACATACATGCTAAGAAAACTGCCAGTAGGACCATTTCTAAGTGGGACAGCAGAAACAGAGATGGGAGAAATAGGTGCTATGTTTTTGACTGAGGTCACTGTAAATGGGAATAACCTGGCCAGGCATTTTATTTTGCTTCTCTGATCTTGACGTTTTCCTGGACTGGCTGCAGAGGGTACTCGGTATCAAAGAGAAGTGTTGCTTCTCTAGGAGTGTTAAAAAATGGAAAAACTCCCTGGGCAAAAAGGGTGAGAGGTGAGTTGAAAAATGTATCCCTTTCCTTCTCTTGGGGTCTTGCCAGCACCACATCTGAATTCAGTGGCCCCCCGCCTTCAGAAGCCCAAGGTAGGCAGTAACCACTAATGCAGGGTGGGCCATGGCATTAAGGAAGAGAGGGACTAGAAGCTGAGCGACGGTGACATCACACTCTTCTGCTCTGTCCTAAGGAAAGCATTTGGAACCCATGGTTTCTTTATCACCTGAAAGGCATGATGGCTGCTGTGTTCCATGAAGTGACCAACAAACTGCCAATCTCTGAGTGTTATCTGAAAAACCCAGCTACATTCTTGAGGCTGGTGGCAGGCAGACACTTAAAAAACCATGGACCCTCAACTGGCTTTCTAGTGTAAAGCTTCTTAAGCGCTGGGGCTGTGTAAGGAAGAGGATGCACTGCCAGATCTAACAAGACCCCACACAACGGGGTAAGAAAAGCAGAACCACCAAAAACTGAGTGAAAGCAAGTACTTCTCAATATGTAATAGATGCCCTGCGTCATGGAATCACCTCTGAACAAAATTTAAAAGTAGCAATACACTAAAACAGGAAGACTGTAAGTAAAACAACTTCTTCTCAATGTAAAACAAACAAACTGGGGACAAGCGCTCCCCTGGAACAGTCCTAGGTGAGACATTAACGGCAATCGCACACACATGCCCCAAGTCTGAATTTAGGAATTCCAGTCCCTATGAAGTACCATGAAGACCAAAATAAACTCTTTGAAGGAAGACCCACTCTTGAATCCAGATATTCGATATATGATGTTCTGATGAACATTTGTTTTTTTATTCCCAAAGACAATTCACGAATTTATGGTCACTTGGTAAGCACCCTGGATAACACCCCTGTCCTGCAGACATGTCCACCGCACAGTTCCAGCAACTCACAAGAGGTAGGAACAACTACCTGAGATGCCTGCTGCTACTGTCTACCAGTTAAGGCAACACCAATGTTTTCTCATCTGACTCTCTGTGCTTCCCGTTAGGCCAAATTTCACTCCAGCAACATAACCCTGTCAACTACCAAACAAAGCAAAATGATTAAGATTAACTGGAGGAGAGGAGAGAATCAATCACCTTTTAGTCACTTTAAAGGTAAGGGGCTAGCAGCAAATTGATGAACTTCACAAATGCTTTTACTCAGAGGACTTTTCTTTAAAATATTTTTTTTTCACCTCAATCTTATTCCTGAACTGTATAAATGAGACCCAGTACAAAGTGATTCTTTTAGATAATATCAAGAGACAAAAAGGATACATTATCTTCTAACCACCTGGAAAGTATTTCTTTAGTAAAATCTGTGACGAATGGTGTCATATTCAGCAACTTAAAAAGGACTCATTCTGACTATGCCTTGTTGGTATGAGATTGTCAGAACACACTGAGCACACCCAGGTATGCAGTTACACTGCCAGAGGGAGGCAGCTCTGAGGACTGACAGGGCTTATCCTCACCAGGGTCAACCTCCACGATACCATCGCCAGAGACCACATGTTAATCACATCTACAGCAACTGAACATTTAATACTTTTATAAAGTAGCTTTTGAAAAATTTGATCCCTTAATCCTACAGTAAATCATTCAAATCATTCAGGGCTACTGACCTCCCTACATCTTTATTTAGCCATGATTTAGGCACACAGGCACCAAGAATCCTATCTGATCAACTAAGCAGTGACAACAGCCCCTTTGTTTCCTCATGATCTCTCCAGAACAGCAATCACTCCACAATTACCCTTTATTTGTTTAAACACCAAAGAATCTCCAGACACTAAAAATTACAGCCATGAAAGCTCAGAGTTGGGTCAGGCTGCTCCATACTCTAAATTTAAAGACAAGGCTACAAAGTATTTGCAGAGATGCCAGCTGATGATAATGACCTCACATGAAGCTGACCTGTAGGTATTGTTTGTGAAACAGCAGGAATTCTGAGAATGCACATCAGCTCAGGTTAAGTGACTCAGAAAATCTGAGAAGTCAATGTAACAAAATTAACTACATAGCCCTCTCTCTCCATCTGTCAACTGAGAATAGGGATTACCATATGGAGGTATGGAGGACGTGGAGTAAGCACACACGCCACTACAAATCCAAGATGAAAGACTATTGGAGCAAAGGGCACTGACCAATGAAGCTGACTTACCAGGGCACCACGCATGCCTGAAAGAACCTCAAGGTCCTGCCTCCCTGAAGCTCCAAGCACCCACTCTAGTTCTTCTTCCCCTTTGGAACCTGGCTTGTTTACCACCTTAGGGCTGAAAGCGGGGGATGGTGAGGAGGGAGCACAAGGCATTTTAAAGAAGCATGGTGCTTTGTTGTTTTGTCCACCATGTTAAGTTCTTAAAATTCAAACACTGGCAGTAAAAGAAAGCATGAATAATAAAAGCCGACCAAGTTACTAATGCTTACATCACAGAACTTCTGAGCAAGGTTGCAAGGTGGTTTGCGAATGAAATCATGATCCACCTTAACCTACAAATGATCTATGATCAGGGAATAATAAATCGATGCTGAGATATTACCCAAGACATGAAGGAAGTTTGACAGAACTTCATCTTTTCACATAGGGAACTTTTTGAGAGCTTCTCCGTGGTTTCAAATTCAATTCATACCTGGCCCTATTAAAGAAATGGCACCACTTTGTGAGTCTGAAAGAAAATCTAATTATTCATCTCTATGGTGGCCTGAACAGTGGCCTGAGCAGTGGCCCTTTAGGCCTACAACTTATTCAACTGCTACTTCTTCTGAATGCTCAGCTCAAAATTCTACAGGAAAAGAAAACAAACCCCCCCCTGGGCGAGTCTACTCTTCTGCAGTCCTCACCTTCCCGGCTGAGCTTACCTGAAGTCCTTCAGCTCCGACCTGGCACTGCCGTCCTCTCTTCTGCCTTCACTCAGGTCGGCGGCAGCTGCCAGTTGAAGGCTTCGGGTGATCGGCCCCCCACTCCGTTCTCTAGATTTTACATTGAACCGGTCTGTTCTTTTCTTACTTGCCAAAGTAGACTTGCTTTGTAAAACAGCTTTGCTTTTTTGTACTCTCACGTGCAGGCTCCGGGAGGTTTTACTTGAGAGCTGAGCAGAATGATTCTTGGCCACAGCTTTGGGTTTTTTCCCCTCCACGTGAGTGATTTTGGCCATTCTTATAGGGCTAGAGTTCCTTAAAGAGGAGGAGCTTGGTTTTTTGGACTTGACTGAAGCTGTGAATTTGACATTCTGCCTGGACCGGAAGGATGAGGAGGGCAGTGGAGACTGGGTGGGGCCTGAGCTGCGGGCCCGGGTCTTGCCCAGGGGTGCCTGCGTGCTCTGCAGCTTAATCTCAGCATCCGCTGTCCGTCTGCGGTGACTACTGCTGGCGTGTCTGTCACTACTTGCAGGTGATGAGTGTCCACCTTTCTTGGATGAATGAGAAACTTTTTTTTTGGAAGGAGAGAGGGGTTTCTTGGGGCAACTGAATGCCGTGTGCTTGTTCAGGCTCCCAATGTAAGTGAACTCTCGGCTGCAGTAGGGGCAGATGTGGGAGGACGACTCCGAGGAGCTCCTCAAGTCAGCCTTCTGTTTTGCAGATTTGTTTTTTTGAAGGATTGCTTTCTGTACAAGTTGGTTTTTCTTCTTCAATGCATTTAATTTGAGCTTATTCGGTGACATTTTGCTGAGCTCAACACTGAAGCTCAGTCTTTTGGGCTGTCCCATTCGCCGGAAGGCATTTTTTCCAGAGTTGTCTAAGACGACCACTCCATTTTTGGGCTGCACAGTTTGTTTCAATGGTACTGGATTTTTCTTTGGAGTATACCTCTTCTTGTCGCTTGCAGAAGCACATGCCAGGATATGTTTGTGTAACTCAGGCATGTTGTCAACACCTTTTCCACATTTTGTGCAGCGAATGGCAGTGGTAAAAGTCTGTGGAATATTGTGGGTGGTGAAATTTGTGGCCGTCACACCAATACCCATGGGGTTGTGGTGATGGTACTGGAATGGAGGTGGTTTAAAGCTTGGGTAATGCTGATTGAGACCCAATCGAACATCTGGATCTTTTGTCTTTATTCCAGAAGCCATTATTTTTATGGTGGTATAAAGCTCTTCAGAGGAATCATTTAACTCCTCCTCCTCCTCTTTGGAAGTTTCCAAAGGGCCTTCTGGCAAGCCCTGCATATGCTCCATGTGGGCCTTGCTGGGATCCGTGAAGTTCTGGGGCCTCAGTGTCCCACTTTCAAACTCATGGTGTGTGCACACCTCGTCTGGGTGAAGATCTCGCTGGTGTTGCTGCAAATTGCACAAGAAAGCAAACTCTTTTTTACAAACAGAACACACAAAGATATTCCCAACTCCATGAAGCAAAAAGCGATGCTCTGACAAATCTGTTTTATCCTTAAAAAGCTGCACACAAAATTCACATTTGAAGGGCCATTCTTCAGCATGAATAGATAAATGTTTGGTTAGATCTTTAATGGAAAGAAATGGTGATTCACAGACATTACAAATGAAGTTTTTGCTGAATGTTTCCTGAACAGCATCCTGTTCAACTGCAGACTGGGGCTCTTCCCTGGCTTTCAGATCTTCGTTCTCTAGTTCCTCCTGTTTGAAAGTCATTGTGGGGAGAGAAGCCTCCAGATTATCTCCGGAGGAAATAACAGATGACACTGCTGAGAGAGGGGGTGGTGAAGGGGATGAGGAGGAAGATGAAGAGGAGAATGAAGAGGAGGACGAGGAGGAGGACGAGGAGGAGGACGAGGAGGATGATGAAGAGGAGGAGGAAGAAAGTGTTGGAGGACCAGGTGAAGCAGCAGACATGAGCTGCTCCACAGGAGGAATGGGAGAGGGTGAGGGGGACACTGTTGGGGACAGAATTGGAAGAGGAGACTGGGCAGTGGCATTCGAGAGTGGAGAGGGACATGGGTGAGGAGATGCACTGGAAGAAGGGGCGGGAAGAGGGACAGTTGGAAGGAGGGGAGGGGGCGGAGTGGCAACAGTTAACACAGGAGGGCAGGGTGGAGGGGAAGAGGGATCTGTGGGGATCAAGAGAGGAGGCAGCTGACCAGAAGATGAGGAAGATGTTTGTAGGGGAGGTGACGAAGGACAAACTTCAGCAGATGATTCGATGGCAGGGGCAGAGAAACCAGAGTCAGGAACAAGGTCAGGATCTGGCTGGGCATCTAAAGATTTACAAGGGCTTGGGCTCCTGGTCACATCAGGAGTATTTTCTGTGGGTAAATCAGTGCCATTATACTCATTGAGAAGAACCTTCTGGAGCATGCAGGTGGGTCGGCTTCTTCTTCTTCACAGCACCACAGGAAGGCTGCACTGAATGGTTCTCTTTCAACTCCTTGCCTTCAGAGTCGCTACCAGGCTTTCTGTGCACACTGAGGTCCAGTACAGATTCCCACTGGACAGAGGCCTTGCCTGTACCCTCAGCCTTCTGTTTGACACCGCTGGATAAATCCAGTGGCTGCTGGTTGCACACATTGCTGAAAGTAGGACCAGATGCCCACTCTTTCGATATTTTGTATTCATCGAAGCAAGGAGGGCTCCCAGTTTCTCTCTCATCTCTCCCAGACAAACTCCACACTGGTGAGTCACTACGACTTTCTAATTTGGATTTATTTCTTCGAAGTCAGGACCGCATCTGTCCACGCTGCTTTTCCATCACTTGGTTTCCCAAAGTCCCGAAGGGCAGGGCTATGCTGTGGAGAACTGGGTGGAGAGCTGGTCCTTCTCTTAAACCTACTAGAGGTCACGGGTAACATGGATGCAGGAGCGGAGACACATACGGGACCTAACTTAGGGATTTCTGCAGGAGGAGTTAGCTTGTCTTGGGTTTGAAGAAGCTGTTTGAGCTTTGACGACAAATAAACACTCTTCTCTTTATGGAAAGACACCGCCTCGGTTGTTGACACACTAAGAGGCAGACTTAAGGAACAGGAGGGTGCCGCGGGGTCAGAGTCTGTTTCAGCTTTAATTTTGGGGAGCACAGGTGGACTAGCAGTCCTTCGTTTCTTGGACTCAGAGTTTGTGCTGCTGGACGGCTCTTTAGGAAGTTCATCTGTTACAGTGACCTGTGTGGTCTTTATACTTTGAGTAATTTCCACTGTAACTGGAGTGAGCAGACAGTTTATGCCATACAAGTCTGCCGAACTAGATTCCATCTCAATCACATCACAGTTGCTAGTGCTATTGTTAGTTTGAATTTTACCGTCAATGTAGTAATTTAAGTTTTCAGAGATGTTACTAGAAATGTCCATGATGTACACATCATCTGCTTCCCCTTCCTCCTCTGGCTCTGTGCTTGGTACATAGACATTCTGGGCAGGTGGGGCCTGCTCGGCTGGTGGCTGTGGCTCCTCAAGGAGGCCCCCTTTTCGGCGCACGCCTTTGGGAATCAGATGGCGTTCATGAACTCTGCGCTGATGCCGTCTCATATTGGTATGAGTTCCGAAAACCTTTTTACAATATTTGCAGGGATGAAGTTCTTTAACTTCCCCATTCTCTTCTACAACCGAAGAATTTACCGTTTCTTGGGAAGCTTTTTCCGAGTTTAGAATCAGACAGTCTTGCCCAAGATGGGAAGGATTCAATTCATCTTTAGGAGTGACATTTTCTCCACAAACTTTGCCATCAGGCAGGTCCTCTGATGGCTGTAGTGTCAGGCTGGGTTTTCGCTTTAACCCTGCTTCATGGCGACGCTCGTGTCGCCTCCTGTTGATCTGTGTGCCAAAGGCTTTCCCACAGTACTTGCACTTGAAAGCATGGTTGACTGTAGACATGTGGATGTGCATGTGACGTTCAAGGCCCTGCTTGGTGGTGAACTTCCTTTCACAGTGCTGACATGGAAACATAAACGCTTCAAACGCCTCACCGTTGGCCTCCTCTTTAGTTTTGGGGATTTGGACAACAGGTGTCCCTTCTGGAGAGTCTTCAGGAGTTTCTTCTGAAATGCTTTTTGGTTCTTCTAATAAATCCTCTGGCTTCTCATCACACCGGATCTCAGGCTCTTTCACAGAGCTTTCGTTTGGCATGTCGCCTTCTTCCTCCCCGTCTTCCTCCAAATCATCGTCGTCATCTTCTTCCTCCTCATCCTCCTCTTCTTCATCCAGATCATTCACCTCACAATCTGTGGCTTCTTGTTTTCCATCTGGCTCTGGCTGTGGTTCTTGGGCAGCAGGGGAGATCGGCAGTTCTGGTGGTGCATCCTGGATGACCCCCTCCTGGAGAAGGGCTGGCTGCTCAGGGGCTGCAGCTGGACGCCTCTCTTCTTCTTCTTTGGGACCTGAAAAGTGCACAGAAGCAGAAGCACAGAGGTGAAGGCAAAACTAGCCACTCTTCAATCCACTGCTATGATTCATTTCTCTTATCACCTAATGTGTAAGGGAAAGAAGTATGATTAACAATAAATTAACTTCCAGTTTATGTATTTCATTTGTAAAGACAGATTAAGATATGAGTCCAGGGCTGGGGTTGTAGCTCAGTGGTAGAGCACTTGCCTTGCATGCATGAGGAATTGGGTTTGATCCTCAGTATCATATTTAAAAAAAAAAAAAAATAAAGGTACTGTGACCATCTACAACTAAAAATATTTTTTAAAGATAGGAGTCCATTTCATTCATTCACAGAGTCTGTGCTTTATGCCAAGTGATATTGTCTGGGCACCTAACTAGTAAGAATGTCCACACTGTGTTTACTTTTCTGCGTTTAGTTACATGTATATGTCTGTTTACAAAAACTACAGTGCTTATAATTATGCTGGGATTGCCCAGATTAATTTTTAGAAATTATAAATTCCAATTTCTTATGATTACAAACTGAAACAAGAAAACTGCTAAACACATTACTCAATTAGATTCTTGATAGTGTGTCAAACGGATGATCCGCTCTCTCCTCTGACAAAACTACATATTTAGAAAGTAGAACACCTTCCAGAACCATGTCAGAAGTTTTTCAAGTCCAAGAAAGGCTGCAGGTCACCTCTTGTAAACCTGTTTAAATTATTAAATCCAGAGTACATCACTGAAGGAAACAAAGCTCAACCTGGGGTAGATGGGAGGGGAGACAGTTACTTGCTAGTAAGGTATGGATGGACAGAGACCTAAAGAAAGTAAGCCATGAAAATATTTAGGGGAAAACACCCTCCAGATGGGAGAAAAAGTAACTTGTAACCTCAAAGTCAAGATCATGCTAAAGGAAGTCAGGAAGGCCATCCTGCACAGAGGCAGTAAGGTGAGGGAAGGTGGGAGGAAGTGTTCAGGCTCTGAGGTACCGTGGAAACAAAGCTGACCAAATGTGCTTGTTGGCTGGCTACCGTGAGAAAGGAGCCAAGGAGAGTGGCAGGAAACTAACAGTCCTGTTCACTGAACTGCAGAAAACTGAGGGGAAGCAGGTCTGGTCTGCAGATGTACGCACACTAGGGCACA